GGAACGATTTCCTATTAAGAATATGTAACATGTATATATGCAGTACACTTCTATGTGTGTGTATATATATATATATAGGGGAGAGGCTCGAGGTTCCCCGGAACATCGAGGAACCTTGCGATACAATAATACATGTCTGATCTTCTAATATACAGAAGGGTGGGGGGGTATTAGCGTCCTTTGAACTGCGGTAGAGCAAAGATGTTGTTACGTTGATCTTCGCTGTGGCATACAGAAGGGGGTGTGGGGGGGATGGGGGGACGGCGCATGAACGTCCTTTGAACTGCGTTAGAGGAAAGATGTTGTGACGGTGAAGATGTTGTTGCGTTGAAGATGTTGCTATGTTGAAGATGTTGTTTCGTTGGAGATCTTGAAAATGCTGCTACGTTGAAGATGCTTTTACGTTGAAGATGCTGAAGATGTTGCTATGTTGAAGATGTTGTTTCGTTGAAGATGTTTTTACGTTGAAAATGTTGAAGATGTTGCTATGTTGAAAAAAGGAGATGTGCTTTTCGCTCGTGGTTCTCCGGGGAATTATGACATCTTTATGGGATCCATGAAAACACTGAAACTCTATCAACATGCAGTTCTACTGGTTTCCACGAAACAACATAAAATGAAGAACTTGAAAAACACAAAACTAATTTCAACCGCGGACAACATACCTGGTGTATGCTGTCCACGTGTTGAAGTCGTTCAATGTGTTTTCATGTACCATGAAGACCACAAAACATTGTAAAACACGGTGAAAATGACATGTCCAATTTTTTCTCCAGTTCCACTTCAATTGCGTTCCGGGGAACCTCAAGCCTCTTTCCTATATAATGCATTCGCTCATACACACGCACACAGACAGACAGACAGGCAGGCAGGCAGGCAGACAGACATACATACATACATAGGGATTCATAATGGTATACGAAGATGCGAATCATTCTTGTTGTGTTATCAGCCCCCAGCGATGGTCGCCAGGAGCAACTGCGTGGCTTGTCGCCGGAGCAGATCGATCTTTGGCGTCAAAGCAGTTCCATGGATCACGCAGGCGGCTGGGGCCCAGGTGAGCAGTTGATGGTAAAGCCAAGAATATTTGGTGAGCTGCAGGAAAAGTTGGGGCAAAAGGAGAATTAAGAAATGAACCAGTGGGTTAACCACGAATGGTGAAGGGTTTGCACTTCCATTCAAGAGAAGACCGTGCCAAATATGGACTTGTTTGCTTCAATGCATTGATTTTCGGGAGAATCTACGGGAAACCATGGTTTTTACCACCGTGTATGGAGGTTTCAAGGGTATTGGGATAGAAGGAATCACCAGAGATGACTCTGGTACCTTTCCGAATGATGGATTCAAGGGTAAATGTTTCTTGGAACCGATTGAAAAAGATAACTGAAAGATTGCGATGTGGAGTAAGAAAACATCGGGATAAGAATGCAGAATGCAGATATGATGAATCAGATACATTGGCAAAAGTTCGGAAATGGAGCACTGTATCCAAAAATCACCTTGCAGTGTTCAGCCTGTCACTTTAAAATGTTAATTTGATTTAGTCAGATTTTCTATATACTGTCTGCAGTATTGTAGAAAACACCTCTCTTCTAAACTCCAACCATTCCACCACTCCAACAATTCCACCGTCATCGCCGGTAGGTGGCTTGGTGACCCATGAGGACGCGCCGGGAGAGCTGGGTTTCTTCTGGGCCACGAAAATCGGAGGACCGTCCCATGGCTTTGATGTTGCCGCTCGGCTGTTGGGAGGCTGAGAGTCTCCTGGTGTTTGACCAGGCGCACTTTTGAGGGGGGTGTTCTAGAAAATGGTGTGGTAAGGAAGGGGATGAAGCCGGCTGTTTCTGTGATAATCGTGGTTCGAAGCATATGAACATGAGATGCAAAATCTCAAGATTTGTTTATGTCACTTATGTCTACTCATATTCAGCAGAAAGGCAGAGCAAAATAAGCCACCATAAGCCACCAGTGAAAGGGAGGGGATCCCACAGCCGCGGGTTGTGGATTCCCAGCTCAATGATTTTGCCCTTGGAAATACTGGTAGCCATCGCCTTTGGATCCAAACAAATCCGGGCTTACCTTTCGATCGCCTCAAGGGTCATAGCCCAACAGCAACGTCCAGCACCCAAGGGCTCCCCAAGTCCCTTTGGCAAATTTGGCTATTCGATTTGTTATGGGCGTGTCCGCGTGTCCGGGGTATTCAGACAAATCTATCATGGAGGCTTTATGCTTTATGATTACCAGCCGTGCTGAGGAAACTCAGTGCATTCTTCCGCTGCTGTGCAATGCAAGGCATAAGGCTCGCTGGGGGTCTGTGATTGAAAAGAACTAAAAATCCATGGTTTTAACACCAAAATCTGCAGCTTCAACCATAGATGTTCCCTTCAGCCAATTCTGAGGTGGAGAGTTTTTTGGGAACAAGTTTCAGAGACACGTGTCACACGCATTTGGTTTGGGATGTTTCAGAACCGTCAGTCTGATCACTCTGATCTAACACACCAGTATTTCAGTGTGTGGTTTCAACCAAGCCGAAAAATACTAAAACGGAGCACATAAGAAGAGGTGACGTGGTTCCACGTAATTAGCTGAGGTTCACTGGAGCACGACGAGACACCAAATCTGGTTTTTGTTTTCGAACATTTGTCGTTTTCCATTCCTACAAACCCAAGATGTTTGGTTGGTTGGTGGTTCCATCATATCATACGTATGTATCTTATATACAAATATAATATATATATACATATATAATATATATATATATATATAAACATATACAATCATATACATACACATGTGTATAATATATTAAGTTATATTATATTATATTATGTTATATTATATTATATTATATTTTATTATATTATATTATATTATATTATATTATATTATATATATATATCTATACACAAACGTATTATTTTGTGATGTTCCATTCCTCATCACATGGGTGGTGATGCCATGCCTTGCGCAGCAGGTCATCCTGGTGAGCGATCCTGACTGGACCCAGCACCCAGTGGGACGGGCGCACTGGCGCCTGCTGTGGACTGTGGGCGATGGGAAGATGCTCGGAGTTTCCAGGTGATGCGGCTGGAAAATTATGGGAAAATCATGGAAAATGTTGGGAAAATGGTGGAAAATCCGTTTCTTGAAGCCCAAAAGCAAATTGGAATTCCGAACTCCAAAGTGAAATTTGAGATGGGGACTCCTCAGGGAGGAATGATCATATCACAGACCAGCAACTGGGGCCCATGATTCTGCAGTATTTTTGCTAGAAACCCGTGTATCTTGAGCCAAAAATATATGTGTAGATTGTTCCTTAAACCAATTCAAAACACGTTTCAATCTCAAGTCCCCTCACTAATTACTAATCTTAATCTTACTTACCCTCCAGTGTTAGTATGTTTGAATATATAGAATGATATGGACAACCCACAATGAATGTAGTTGTTTTCGCTCGGAGATGATAGGTTGTTCATGTCTATGGTATGAAGTCCCATTTATGGCAACACAATCCTTCAATTGTACTATCTAAGAGGTTAACTCGTTGGAAAAGCATGTTAAGTCAATGTGAAATCAATATTTTGAGTGGTTTTTTGTTTCCCATGAAATCCCACTTCCACATTTCCCAAATTTTCCCTTTAGTGGAGATTTCATTTGTAATGCAGTACAATCATCCTGAAGTAGATAGAATATGCAATGTTGAAACATATGTCCATATCACGGGGATTTTAAAATGCCCACATTCTATCTACTCCAGGATGACTACATAGTTTTTCCCGAGAGCGTCTGAGCGCAGGGTTCTTCCAATAGTGGGGGTCTGTAAAACATCGTCTCATCTTCACATCTTCTCATCTTCACATCTTCTCATCCTCACATCTTCTCATCTTCACATCTTCTCATCCTCACATCCTCACATCTTCACATCTTCTTATCTTCACATCCTCACATCTTCACATCCTCTCATCTTTACATCTGCTCATCTTCATATCTTCTCATCCTCACATCCTCACATCTTCACATCCTCTCATCTTTACACCTGCTCATCTTCATATCTTCTCATTTTCACATCCTCACATCTTCACATCTCCTCATCTTCACATCTTCTCATCTTCACATCTTACCATCTTCACATCTTCACATTTTCACATCTTCTCATCTTCACATCCTCACATCTTCACATCTTCTCATCTTCACAACTTCTCATCCTCACATCTTCTCATCTTCACATCTTCTCATCCTCACATCCTCACATCTTCACATCTGCTCATTTTCACATCTTCTCATCCTCTCATCCTCACATCTTCACATCTGCTCATTTTCACATCTTCACATCCTCTCATCTTTACATCTTCTCATGTTCACATCTTCTCATCCTCACATCTGCTCATCTCCACATCCTCACATCTTCACATCTTCTCCTCTTGTCATCTTGCCCTCTCCTTCTTTTCTATTTCTCTCTTGTTCTATTTCTCTCTTGAAGGCGCGGGGCAGTGCCAACGAGACGGCACGAAACGCGAACCCTTTCGCACGAAATGAGGTTCGATCGCCAAAAACTGAGGTAAAATTGCGATTCCTGGTGTCCAATCGCAACCTTTTCGCCATAATAGGTCACAATAATCTCCATTAAGCCATCCAGTATAACCCCCTCTCTTAATCATCAACCAACGGGGGTGTTGGAAGCCGCTCATGTGGCAAACTAAATCCAACCATCGAACTCCAGGGTTGGCGGGCTCTAGAAAAAGAACCCCCCTATTCGGATCCACCAGCAAAACCAATACCTACAGCCGGAAATGGTAGATTAATGTGGATCATCTCCACCCGACTTAGTCCTGAACTTACCCACGTTTCATCATTTTGACTGGTCGCATTACTGAGCTTTATCCTGCACCTTTCCGTGGAGTTCCCAACCAACTCATCTCCACCCAAACGCGCTGGTGGTCCCCAGTTTGGATCTTGTGCTGGCATGTGGCCAGCTGGTTTCGTCACTGGACGCAAGTCTTGTGGGAAACCTCCCTTAGTGCTGTTGGGTTTTTCTCTGTGTTTCCTTCAGTATTTTTTGACCTAAACTCCTGCATGTCGCATGGTATTTGCCGCATGTTTCAACTAGAACCCTCCACGAAGGTTGATCCATACTCATGTAAACATATCTATTTATCGATCTATCTATCTATCTATCTGTCTGTGACTTGCTTCATGATTTAGCCCAACTTGCTGAATTTTGTATCCGCATGATATCCATAGTTGAACAATTCCTAAATTTGAACTATTTTTGTGCAGTTCTGTTGTGGTCCTGTTTGCTGACTATATCAGATTATATCTCATTACCCAGAATATCCTAGAATCAAGAAAAAATGTTTTTCTAAAGCCAACAGTAAGTGTCTATATAGGTATATATGTATTATCTTGCGTATTTTAATGATATCATACGTTTTATAGATTTAAATAAACCATGATATAGTATTGAATTTACGTGTGTATATATATATGTGTGTGTGTGTATACATGATTATAACACACATATGTACATATATACATGATTACAACACACACACATATATATATATATATATGCATTATCTATATGTACATATACGATGCAAAATAGAATGCAATTATAGGATGATACAAGATAACTGACATGTTCATAGGTACATAACATTATATAACCGATACAACTAGATACAACTTATAGCAGAAGAATCCACAAGATTTTCCCAGCAGACCTTCCCCAAGGAAGTCTCCAGAGCCACGGCTGTGGCTGGAGACTGTGAACGTCGACTTCGAGGCCCCCGTCTCCACTGAGGGCTGGGAGCTGAGCGTCCTGAGCCACGCCATGCGCAAGGCGAGGTGAAATCCTTGGCTTTGAAGCATCGGGTTGGCACTTTGAAGACAGTGCACTTTGAACACAGGAACATGGTTTTTTCTTTCAAAAAAAATACCCAGAAAGGCGAACATATGCCGACACTGAGCGACTATAACATGCAAAAACTGGGATATTGAACATGTTTGTGAGTTGATCCAAGAAAAATATTTATTGGGGTATGTTGGAGTGTTGAAGGATAATGTAGAGTTCATCAACACAGATGGTGGGGGCAATATGATGGAGCAGCAAACACTGGAACAGAACTAACAGACGAAGATCTAGAGCAGCAACAATGTAGACATAATATCAAATCAGAACGGACATTCAACTGGACATATGGTTCGTGCTGGGTATGGTTGTAAAAAATGTCCAACTGCAGTTAAGATCATTTATATTTCACGTGCAGGCGGGAAATTGACCAACAGCTGGAGGGACAACCCGTGGATCTTAGCTGGCCAGTGTAGATGGGGATAAGTACCGTAAGTACCGGGAGTAGGGTATAGATGTGGATAAGATCCACGAGGACATCCTTGGAACATCTTGGAACCGTATTCCGTGAATGCCTTGAACTGAGCAATTTTGACCATGTCCCAGAACAAATTACAGTACCCAAATATGTGTTTCCTGAATCCGTATGGTTTCCGTTGTGTTGTCCAATTGTTTCCATTGTTTTCCCATCCCAAAATTCGAAAAAATGCGATGAAAGTTTTGAAGGGAACATCATTTCCAAGAAATTCATTCCTAGTGGGAAAGTCTTCCGTAAAATCACTCCCCATTGCGGAGGCTGATGAGATGAATGTCACCCTGTCGGTGGAGAGTTCTTTGGGTGACCTTCTACAGCGCTTGATTGATCACCACGCGTGTTTCCTCGCAGCAATGGGAGCGCCAGGGTGGGTTTACTACAGGGCTGGAAAAGATGGGAATAGATTGGATAAATCATCCATACCAGGTGAAATTACTGGGGGAAATTGTAGGGAAACCATGGATTTTCCCATGAAATATCGGGGGGTCAGTGTTATTCAACGTGCTTGGCCTGTCACGCATCTCACCCTGGAAATTGCTGTAGAGGATTGTAGCCGATCAGAGTTGGGGATCAACCACATGATTTCATGATTAAAAGGAATCGTCGAACAGAGTGACGGAATTTTCCCATGAGCACTTTGGATTTCTCCTTGAAGCAGACTTTGGCTCGAGAACTGTGGAAGGTCGAGAACTGTGGAAGGCAAGTACTGGTACCAGTCATGAGCCATGACTATCTCCTGTGATATCGTGTGACAGAATGTGATAGATTTTCTTTGGTCGGACTGAGAAGTTATCACATGTTACCACTTGAGTACTCTTGAGTCTTCCAACGTAGGCTTGAAGATTCTGGCGCAGAATCTGTCAGGTTGAGGGTTCTCACCTCAGGCGGGCCCTGGGATCCCCAGTATGCTGCAGGTTCACACCACAGCTGCATTTGCGATATCCCTGGCAGATGGATCAGTCGTGACATGGGGCGATGCGATATCTGGCAGTGACAGCTCTATGGTCCAAAGTTGATAACATGTTCTACTCGAAGAACAGGCAGCAGCAGCAAGTTCAAATGCGGCCGAATGCCAGCATTCAGCTGCCTTTCTTCGAGTAGAAAATCGTGTCGACTTACTGTACCTGCATGGCGAAGCAGCCGTGCAGGGCGATGCGAAATTTGGCGGGGCCACGTAGCGCATTCGCCGCCATACTGTCAGATAGATCAGTGACATGGGGCAAGGCATATTTTGGTGACACCACCGAAATCCCCATGAAAACCATGCAGTATTTGAGTGAGTTCAAAGTCTTTGACAGTGTTTCTTAACGAGCAATCCCCGAAAGGATAAAAATTCAATTAGATCAAGTTAGATCCTAGTTCATCCCAAAGAAGAGAATGAAACTTGTCCAATCTTGTCCATATGTTTCCTGTGGTTTTGCCCACTTTGTTCATCTCTGATTTCCAATGTCCTAAACGGCCACCGGCACCGGCGCCCTTCACGCCCCGAGGTTCCCATGATGCCGTCGACGTTCGCGAGCGGATCTTGCTGCGACCCAGCAAGGCCATCTTGGAGGCTTCCGACGCTTGGAATGAGCCGCCAGGCCATTCGGAAACCGGTTCCACGGGAAAATCTCCATCCGAAGTGCAGGTTTTAATCTGTGTTCATTGGAAAATCATAACATGGACAAATCTACTAGAAATGGACATTTGAATGGTGAAATCATCGAACTAAATGAGGGTTTGATTACCAGATGGCTCGAAATTCGGGAAAACATTGCTGGTGGGTTCGTTCATATTTCTGTGTCCAACCTTATTTGGGGATTATCCCAACTGACGAATAGATTGTTCAGACTTGAAAGCACCAGCTGTATGTTTGCCATGATTTAGGCAACAAACATAGGGGAAGCAATGGCAGTCCTAATGTGATGGACAACCAACAATCATTATATTGGATTATTTGGATATGATGATTGAGTCATGGACGCAGAATGGTTATCATCCAATATAAAATTGGTGACTTTCAGTGAATCATCTTGCATGTGGTTTTCATAGTTAAGATTCACCAGGCTCAGTCTGCAGCAATCAGCTGTCAGATTTTTCTTTAGCTGCTAAGCTCGGTTTGGGACGGTTTCCATGTCATCATGTGGGCATAGGCAGAGCTGGGATCAAACAAGAATAGCTGGTGGACATCCACTGGCGGATAGTGATTCATCATGATTCATCCTCATGAGAAATAACCATCAGGATATCTATAACTCAGGATATCTATAACCCTAAGTGTCATATGACTGACCCATCAGATGGTTTCACCCTGTCTTGTAGCGTTGAATGAAAGGAGAAAACGCAGGAATCGACAGTCAATGAGGACTAGAGTTTCAAGCGTAAATTTCACCGGATAGAAAATATTGCCAGATAAATTTATGGTTGCACATGATTTCACAATGTGTTAACCATTTCATGCATTTGTGTTTAACCATGGTGCAACATTTTCCTGTGAACATCGCCCTGAGGACTACCTGAGTCCGAAGCACGACTGGGTACAGGACAAAGACGAGGTCACTGATCCCCTTCGCCGCTGTCTCTACAAGCCCGGCAAGAAACGGTCTCACATCTGAGCGGGTCGCACGGGTCGCATGGGTGGCATCTAAAAATGGGCGAAGTTGTGCTGGTCATGTTTTGTCATCTGTTTTCTGGTTGGTGGTTTCAAACATTTTTTACTTTCCATAATATATGGGATACTCATGGATACTCCTTCCCATTGACTAATATTTTTCAAGATGGTTAAAACCACCAACCAGTTTTTTTTTTGGTGGGAATACTGGTCAAATGGAATAGTGTAATTCTTCACCATGTTCACCCTTGGAGATGGGTGTTGTCCAATGGAGTTGAAAACGTTTTGACCATGAGTTCCAGCTCTAAAAGCATGTAATCCTCAGAGCTATGAGAGGTGACTTCACCCCAGCTTCAGGAATCAGCATGGTTTCAAGCTGGTAATACTCAATTATACTCAATTCATGTCAACTGAAAATCAGTTGGCAAAATATGTAATGATGTTCTTTATGTAGCTACCATAGATGCTATGTCTTTGGTCTTAAACGATCATGCTTCATAAACAACACACGCTTCGTTTGACAAGGCGGGCCAGCCGATGTGAGAGTCCCTCTTCATCCCATGACTAGTTGGTGGTATCCCAAGTATGGGTGATAATTCTCCCCAATAAACCAGCTACAGTTGAAGTGTTTGACCCACTACAAACAGCTAGGTATTTAACATTATTTAACAACATATTATCAATGATATCCCTATTTCAAGCATCTTAAGGCATGGTCAAACCCATACTGGCCGGTGAAATCTTCCCAAAAACCCTGGCTCAACGCCGAAGAAAACGACGGCAGGCCGGCCTTTGCGTGAAATGTCGGTGAACTTGTCGGGGGGTAGCTGTGGCTGTGGCTGATATGCAAAGGATTATTGTACTTATATATTTTACAATGTTATACATGTAATAGTATGGTTATAGCAATAATATGTATATGCCATTATTACTATGGATTGTTATACTGTACATAATGATATGATGTTCACATGTCATAGTTTGATAACATGATCACTTATCATAATTATTGTTGTTTATTTATCACATATTTCAAATCATGATAAACGAAGCGCAAGGGGTCGTGACCCACAGCCATATTGGGGACATCTCTGACTCTGTGACAAAATGTGTACAGATTGTACAGTGCGGGATGACGTTTCTGCTGTGGCGCAACTGATGTTTCGACTCGAGGAACTGGGCTTGTCGAGCAGTATCAGTTGCATCAGCACTGGGCCAGGGTTGCATGAAGCAGAGTTCAAAGGGGCTGGACGTACTGGGACGGTGAAAGTGGTGCAAGATGGAGGCCCAAAGCCTCTTAGAATGATTCGAAGGGTCTCGCCCGAAAAGGTGGTCCCGGCATGATGTCTTGTTGATGTTGGTTGACCATTCCATGATACATCACTTGGGAGCAAGTCGATCTGCATTGGCTCTATCCACGTAAAAACAGGATTGTTTTGCGTTATATTTGAGTGTTTCTTTTGTTTCTTTTAAAGTTGCTCAATGATCGTCGGGGGTTATACTACCTGCATTACTCAATAGATGAGGCATTATCACAATCCGTTACAGGAATTTCGATTTACCAACCGTTATCAAAGGGATGTGTTTGGTTTTTGATACTGTTGATCACTTTGAACTCTGTGGTTCATGGTGGAGGCTTGGTACTGCCCATTTTGAGGCGGCAGATGCGATACGAAGCTGTGCGGGGAAATCAGATATTATTTTATTTTTTTTGTATATATTATTTAGGAAATTCTTAAAATATTTATTTTGTTCTAAGGATATTTTATTTTATTACCCGATTAGGACGATTAATAATAATGAAATAATTTAATTAATCAATATAAATAATTATATATATATATAAATATAGGAAGGATATAAAGGATTAAATTTAAAAAAAAAATGTAATATGATACTAAATTCTTTATTTATATATAATTAAAAATATATTTATTATAAAAATAAAATATGAGATATTGATTTTTATTGCTAAATATATGTTAATAATGTTTAAAAAATAAAATTATATTTAAAAAATAATTATTAATTATTATTCTTAAGTGGTATTTAAAAATAAAATTTTAGGTTTGAAATTAAAATATTTTTGGATTTATTTTTTAAAAGGTATTTATTATGAATTTTGAATAAATTAATTGCCTATAATTTTATTTTTGGTATATGGGCTAAGATTAAGAACTAAGCTTAATGTAGTTGGTGGAGTAGCTTTA